CGGAGGCGCCCGCACGCTCATGTTCTCCCTAACGTATCTCCTCCACGCGCTCTCACACTTGATACACCCAACTGTCGACAAATAGCCAGCGGAACTAGGTAGATGGCTCGCCCGCTCTCCCCGGCTAACCTCACACACCTGCGAAAGGACAGCAACACCAGCACCAGCACCGGCAGCGAGCGATGTGATTAATCGGGGTGGTTGCCGGTACACAGATAGCTTCAGGGTATCAGGTACGACCACATGAAGCTATCTATGGCCGCCCGACTCGGTTCCGAGGCGAACCATGCGTAGACTCTTAGGGCAGCTGGGTATGCATAAATTTACATGGACAAGGCTTCCGCCGCCGGGGCTTGGTACTACTGGTTGTAGGGTACGCCAACAACGCTCAGTTCGAAACCAGCGTTGTAGAAACTGTTTGTGGGTAGGTTGTCAAGCTGATTGCATGCATATGCACTGTTTGCTTGTTGCGGCTCCTCTTGCCGCTGAACCTTACAAGGCAATACTGTTGCTGTAGCACCCATCAGGCTGTCGCCGGTTGAACAAGACCCCTGAAACGGCATCCCGCAGCAATGAAAGAGAGCAGGGCAGAGCTGATACGTTGCACGGCGAAAGAGCAAAGACAGAGTGAACAGGCCGGCTGTTGTGTATAGGCAGTGCAGAACACACCTTTGCATGTAAAAAAAGCCAGAGCAAAGTCTTCACACTGAGTTCTGCCTGAGGGGTCAGGCTGTCGCACGACCGTCGAAGGTCGAAGGCAGAGCCAGCCAGCAGAGGTAATGCATACTGTATGAATAACATGCGCACAATACAAGTACAATGAAGAAGACAGTTGTTGGTCAGAGGTTTACAATCCTCAGAGGTTTACAATCCCCACGACTATAACACAGTCCGTTGCAGTATGATACAAGGGGCGAAAACAAAAGGAGTGGATCACGCGTATGCTGTGGGCTGGGTGAGATCCTTGGAAATCGTGAACGGCCGCGTCGGGACGCGATTCACACACCTGAGATCCAAACAAACGATTTGAAAATAGAACTGCTCGCCGCCGTCCGAAGAACAATTTGAAAAGGGCACTAATTTCCTTCCCTCCACGGACACCAGCGGTGAAAAAAATGTTGCTGCCTTCGCTCCAACATAGAAGGCCAATATCTGCTCCACCCCCCCTTTCTCTCGTACTATCACTGCTCCCGTGCTGCGCGCGAAAGAGCACTAGTCTACTGCTGCTATCTTGTTGCTGGCGGCTCGCTGACAGATACGTACGCTTGTTCAGCTGGAGCTCCTGTCCTCACCCTATGATCTCGTCATGGAAAGCCTCGGCGAGAAAGCGGAAGTTACCCAACATACACAGAAGCTTGCCGACCAAGGGGCGGGCACCCTCCTTCCTCTCACCTGCCTACACCCTTCCAGAAGATACTGCCGTTGTGCGCTGCTGCTGCTGCTGCTGATAGCTTCGGCTGTGCGCGCGTAGCAGAATGCAGACACGTTGCCACCATACCCCCCTACTCTCCCTCGTCACTGATGTTTTC